CGAAGGCGAAACGTTTCAGCACAAAAAAAGAAACTGTCCAGATGACCCGACTGAAAAATGTTGAATTTTATACCTGGATTATTGAGCATGGACTTTGTTACAGCCATTGCTTTGGTGGCCATCATGAATTAGGCTGAACAAAGGTAAGAGGAAGATTCAATGATTACTTCCTGACAGTTTCATTAAAATCCATCCTGATTTTTTTTAAACCCTGAGAGAATTTGTTTTGCGAACCTGTTCAGCCGAAATCAGAAGGATTTCGTGGCGAGCCTTCTCGATGCCCTCCTTGGTGCCGGTGATGCGGATGTTGGCGCTTGGGTCGTCGGGTCGTGGAATAGCGATCTTGGTGGCGGTCTTCAGCTCCAGCTCCTGCAGCTTCTCACCGTTCTTACCGATGACAAAACGATGGTGCTCTTTGGGGATGGCGACCGTAGCAGAAGCCTGGAGGAGGAGGGAACATGTGAGTTAGCGTCTCTCCACGGGGGAAACGACACTTTGCGGCTTCTGATTTGAACACATGAACCATAACGATTTTTTAATCTTAACTGACTCACTGTTCCATAAAATTTGATTAAAAATCCGTGTGAGATTTTAGAAAACAAAATCAATCATCCGTTTAAAGAGGGCTCTGTTTTTCTGCAATGTTGTATGAAGAACTGCAGCTCAGCTGAACCCGCGCATCAGCTGAAGCAGAGCTCAGCATGTTTGAAAGGGCCGCCTCTGGGAGCTGACGGTCAATTTTTTAGCTCAACTTTTTGTCCTTAGCCGACCCGCCTGCACAGAGTTTTTCAAAAGGACGCTCTCTAAACACCTATAGATTGACTTGGCATCAAAATTTCACATTCATGGGAGACATTTGAGAAAACTGATGCCCTTTCTATCCAGATTACATCACTGATTATTGAGCATCACATTAGATGTAAAGAAAATCTGAGTTCAGAACGTTAACTTGTCTGTAAACACAAAGCCATGCGCAGCAGGTAACCTTGATACCTTTATCTATTGACGATATTTAAAGAAATTACAACTAAGAATTTGCGCAAATACACTTTAGCAGAATAAAGATGCATGAAAAATGATCTTTTTAACTTTAATCTCTTCTTGTCCAAGCAATAATTTTAATCAAGATCACATTTGGTTAGTGGAATAAAATAAGCACTTTGAAGTTGCATATATGCAACTTTACTACAGAATACTGTAAATAAATACGACTTTTAAGTACAGTAGTTTAAAACTTCTAAATTACATTTACAGTAGTCCCTCGCTACTTCACGGTTCGACTTTTGCGGACTCGCTCTTTCCTGGTTTTTCAAAGTAAGACTGGACGTGACACACAACTGGCTGATTGATGGATGTGCCACACGAGCGGCATAGATTGTTCATTTAAAATAAATTATTTTAAATGATTTAGCACCTGCTAAATCATTAGGTGCAGGGAGAAGCTCCCTCTGCAGCCTGTCATGATCTCCACTCTCTGCCACCTGCGGCTCTCTGCCACGCCCACATTTCCGGTTGAAGCAGCTTTGTGAAGGGTTAACCCTTTGCTGTCCAGATGCATCGATCGACTTTTGTCTTCCAACTTAAAATTCAAAGTTTGTCACATCGTAAAATCGTCATAATCAAGGGGAAAAGAACCTGCACTGTATTGACCTGAGTAAGGCTGAGTCAAGCCCACGGGAGAAAAAATTTAGTCTAAAATTATAATAAATGTTATGCTAGTACATAGATGTAAATCAACTTCTTTAAGTTTTCTGTTATTTTTTAAAGTGGATGTCTGTAGATTTATTTAAATCATTTATTTAAGTCAGGTAAGCTTAAGGAGATCTAAAACATGCTCGACAGCGGTCCCTGAATGCCAGAGTTCGACCTCTCTGGTCTATAGCGTGCACTTATTTACTACACGTGTTGTTTGTTAATAACAGCTAAAAACAAAACGCTAAAAAAGCTGCATGGACCATCTTGAATACTTGAACCTTTTTTTTTCTCCAACCCCAGAGTTCCAAAACGTCACGCTGTTGAATATGCAGACAAGTCTACGGATTAGTTTACCTGTGTCTGCAGGCGAGCTACGATTTCCTTGCGAGCCTTCATAACCGAGTCCAGTTTCCCAGTAACCATGATGGACAGGCCCTGGTCCTTCGCCAGGGACAGCTCGATGTGCGCTCCGGTTCTCTGCATGATGTCCAGGCACACTTTGGCTTCCTCTCCCTCACCAAACTGGCTGTTGTCCTTGTAGCGCCGCTCCTCCAGGGGCACATGGAACACCTGAATGGAAGAGACTCGTGAGATGCATTGTTTCAGTCTTGAAGTGTTTAAGTCTTTCTGTGTGGATACTACAGCGACTCTACTTACCTGGGTGATAACGGAGGCTTTGATGGGCCTGATCTTGCTCCCCCAAGCCGAAACCGGCTCTCCGGTCTTTTCCCCCGGAGCCCCCTTCTCCGGCAGCGGAGGGAAGGCCTCCAAATAGGTGGGAATGTAGGCCTCATCCTCCAAGACGCAACCTGGCCCAGAGAGGCCGAGATAAACAACAAAAAGTAGGCAAAGGAATCAAACGAACAAACAGGAGTTTTTCTAACATTACAAAGAGGCACTCGGTAAGACAAAAAAAAAATTAAAATAAAGTCCACTCTCTTTCAGTCCTAGGGTTTATGTATCAGGATGACATGAAAATAATGTTACCAAATTATTCAAAGTTAACCTCAAGTGAACAAAAACACACAACACATTTAACTATGCTGTTACCTATGAAACAGAAATGAAGCCAAAATAATAAAATAAAAAACTAAGTTCATCCTTGTTGCTTCAATAAAATTTTAAGGGAACATTCGCAGCCAGGAGCTGTTTGCTCATCTTCAGTGTGGTCACCTCTGCAACTGCAGGAGATTCATCAGTTTGCTGCTCTGGAGTAGACAGGTGTGTGTTAACACAATGCCAAAGTGGAAAGACATCAGCAATGACCTTAAGAGAAGCAATTGTTGCTGCCCATTAATCTAGGAAGGGTCAAAGGTCATTTCCAAAACTATTAATATTCACAAGTGGAACGTTTAAATCAGCCGTCTATCTTCCCAGGAGTGGACGTCCCAACAAATTCACCACAAGGTCAGTCGTGCGATGCTAAAAGAAATGATCCCAAAGATTTTAAGAGCTCCACCTCAGACTCTACAGGCCGCAGTTCAAAGGTCAAAAATCAAAGTTCATGACAGGACAATTAGAAAAACACTGAAGTTTAGCTCGTTTGGAGAAAACGTCTCTGTAAAAAGAATGAGGCAGATTGAGTTTAGTTTGTCAAGTTGTATCTGAATGAACTTCTGAAGACTTCTGGAAGAAAATTAGACCAAAATAGAGATGTTTACCCATAATGCACAGCACCATGCTTGGAGAAAACTAAACAACACATGTACTTTACAACAACTGTCAAGCACCGTGGTGGAGGGCCAATGATTTGGGCACTTTAAAGTCTCTGAGTCCACATCCTCTGTAGACCAAAGTGTTCTCGAGTCAGACGTGAGATCATCTGTCCAACAGCTGAAGTGTGGACCAAACCGGGCCATAAAACAGGACAATGATACCAAACACAGCAGCTAAGCTACAATGGAATGACTGAAAAACAAAATTAAGGTGTTGCAGCGGTCCCGTCAAAGTCCAGACCCCTGCCTCATTGAAATGTTGTGGCGGGACCTTCAGAGAGCTGAGCAGAAACAAATTTCTGAAAATCTCAATGAACCGAAGAAGTGTTGGATAAAAGAGTGGGCCACAATTCCTCCACAACCATATGACAGACTAATGAAGTCCTTCAGTAAACCACTACTGAGAGTTCCTGCTGCTAAAGGGGGTTTTAAAAGTCAAGTCAACTTTATTTATAAAGCACATTTAAAACAGAAGCTGTTACCAAAGTGTTTAACAAAAATGAATGAGAGTAATTTAATGAAGAAAAAAAAATTTTTGATAGCACTGAAAATTTATTAAAAAGCCACTAAATCATAGTGGACATTCTCACACAGACCAGTTTTAAACCAAAACCACAGAGGTACACACAACAATAAAACAATCGTATAGAAGCAGACAAAATGAAAAGTAAGTGGATTTCCATTAGTAACTGGCAAACAAGGAGTTAGAGGCAACAAAATATCTATTGAAACAATTTAGGAGCTCGTGCTCGACAGCTGACACAGGAACAGAGTTATTAACAAGTAATTGTGGTGGCAGGTCCGATGAATGGGAGCTGCCAGAAAGTGATTTGATAGATTTCCAGAATCTTTTAGGGTCATTTAGATCAGTAGTTCTCAAACTGGGGTCCCTGGACCCCCGGGAGCTGGTGCTTGGGGGTCCACCAAAAAAAAATATATATATTTTTATTTTATTTTACTTTTTTTTTGTTTAACAGGCATGTACTGTAGATGTTTAACAGCTTGTTCAAATACACTAAAACTGCAGGAAATCACATCTACTTTAATCAAAATCAGAAAAAAGACCCCACCCCGGCTACAATATTTTCATTCTGGCATCGATCATTTTACAAATTAAGCCCTGTTACTTGGTCTGACTACTGCTGTTATGATTCTGTTCACTTTTATGTAAAGAGTTTTCTGTAATAATTTGAAGAAGTGGTAATACATTTATTATGTTCATTAAATGAATAGGTAAAGTTTTAAAGTGGTTTTTGATACTGCTACTTTTCTCAAAACTGTAATTTTTGGAAGTTGAAATAAAAAAATGTTAATCGTGTCTTGAATGAAAAATATCCCATGTTTAAAAGTAAAAATTATATTAACACTATTTAAGAACAGGTATTATCATATATCTTAGATCCTTATATACCGTTTCTTTTTATACTTTATATTTTTTGCTATTTTTGAGTGTAACTGAGACCTTGAGTACACAATTTCGTTCCACCTCATGTACCATACGTGATGGGAATGACAAAGAACCTTGTTGAACCCTAAGTATTTATGTTACACAAATATTTCCATTGCATTAAAGAGACAAATTGAAGAAAATTATTTAATAAACATGAGGGGGGTCCCTGAAACCAAAAAGTTTGAGAACCCCTTATTTAGATCTTTGGAGGTCTAGGATAAAAAGTAGTTACGTTTTGCAGCTTTAATGGAAGCTGTACAATGATTCTGGAACTGACTAAATGAAACCAGTCAGTGTCTGACCCAGACTGTCTTGCTGTTGTTAATATATTAAATAATGACACCGTGAGTTCAGTTGTGCCTTTTTGTTCACTTGAGGTTAGATTTGAACAATCATAGCATGATAATAGTAATAACATAAATCATAGCTTTTTTTTTTACCGCAGCTGCTTCAGAAATAACAATAAACAGCAAATGTGTGGAAGAATCTTTCCTAACAAAGGATGGAGGGACGTTACCAGTAATCTCCTGGTCTTTGAGACCACTGCGATGCTCCTCAAAGCTCTCCGGGGTCAACACTGCCACTGAGCTCATGGTTCAAGTCTTATTCCACTTATCCACTGAAAACAAACACGTGAGCGTTACAAAAAGCGTTTCAGCTAACAAAACCTATTAACACACGAAGAAACGAGCTGCTGCACATGCGTAACGTGTCGCAACATTAATGTCTGGATGATCTGCGAAAGTCATCAGAAGTTCTCTTCTTCCCCCTGTGACTGTTCTCCGCAAGACCCAGGAGAACCTCGCTGCCTCTGTGGCACTGCTACACCTGAGATGCTCCAATTAACGGGTTACAAGCCTCAGACAAACACGCCGATCCACAGAAGCCTCCGGGGGGGGGGAGGTTCATCACAACATCAGGAGCATGTCTGAGGCTAAAAACAACCGCTGCCGACAGTCGTCTGATACGCCAGCCCCGTGCGCATCCTGACAATAACAGGAGGGTTTCTAAACCTGCAGATCTTCGCAGACGACAACGTTTTTTTGGTTGTTGCATATTTTCTACTAATCTTACTTTTTTTAAACACTCGTTTTCAAAGCCAAAATAACGCTACCAGGAGCTAGTAATTTTCTTCATGATGCATTTAATTTTTAGGATAATTTACTCTTTTATTATTTTTTGCCGGACCATGACGCAATCTCAAAAGTGACTTTGCGTTATTTCTACGCTCCAGCAAAACGTTCCCCTGAAACGCTACCGTCCGTTCTCTGCCGTTCGCCTTTCGGCTGTTCCCTTCTTTAGAGGTCGCTACACGAAAGAAGCGGAAATTGTTTTACGCTGAACGCCGTTCTTGACACAACCTGGAATCAAACCGGCAGCCTCAGGATTACAGGGCACTGACCGCTGAGCTACAAGCCTTACTGTCTGCTCTCCTTGGTGCAAGAATATTCAGATCTGCAAAATGTTTTCTTGCTGGTAACTCAAACTTAAAACAATTAAAATATCCTTCTAAAGCAGGGGTCTGCAGCCTGCGACTCTTTGGTCCTTGGTCTGCGGCTCCTTGAAGCTGTGACCAAACATAATGCAAAATGTAAACTCAGTGGTTTTTATACCCCCAGTAAAAAGAAATGGCAAGATTTAGCAGCTTATGTGCAAACGTTTAAAATAAATTACTAAAACAAGGAGAAAATTATGATTGGATTCAGCTACGTCATTTATCCGACTTCCGACCTTACAGAGGGATCTTTGTCTCAAATCCACCAGAAATTCTTTGGAATACCTTTAGGACACGCTGCCTAGAAGAAATAAGGTGAGTAATGGATTGGTTGATTGATTGGGTCTATACGGCGCACCGGGTTATAAGGCGCATTAAGCAAAACTAAAACATTTTGACAGATTTTTGAGCGCCGTGTACCACATAAAAACAGTTCGAGGTCAGTAAGCATAACCAGAATGAATACATAAGGCTCACTGTTGACTTTTCAGAAAATTAAACAAATTTAAGTGCGCCTTATAGTCTGAAAAATACGGTAATTAACGTTAAGGTAAATTAAAAAAATGTGTTTTTAAATTAAAACGTTAATGTTAAATTACATATCCAACAAAATGGCCCAGTATTTACACACTTTAAAGTGATGCTTTATTACTTTAAAGTGGGATGCATAATTATTTTTATTTTTCTAAAATTAAAAGACTCGCATAAACCTGCAGAGTGCAGGGTTAAATTTGAATGAAATATGTATTTTTCCCCTTGTTTACACGAATGCGGTCTTTTCTTTAGCCCTAAAATGTAAAATCATTAATAAATGTTCAAATTCATTATATAATTTTTGTTTTATCCCACTAGCTGGAAAAAAAAAAAAAAAAAAAACCTTGATACGAATTTGAAGTGGCCCATAAGCCACCAGTTGATAATCATCATTGTCTAGAACCGCAGGTTTTGCGGCTCTACACACATTTTGTTCAGTAAAGGTAGAATGGCTCTTTGGATTTAAAAGGTTGCAGACCCCTGATCTAAAGGATGCATCAACGAAAGTTTAAACTGTTTAAAAAAATAATAATTCAGGTGCTCGGTTCTACCTGTGCCACACAAATGAGCCCAAACTCACCTGCAAAAGGTCGATTACCAGAAAGTCCGTCCAGTTAGCGGCTACCGTCGGCGCTTCAGTGTGAGTGTGTGTTTCAGCTCCTGGGAGGCAAACAACAAAGACTGAAAGTGAACACCGTATATCAAATAGATCTTCAGCGCGAAGGCTGGCTTAACGTTGTAAACACCCACACTGCACTGCACCTTACACTGCCTGGATAAGATTCACAATCCTCCTTCGTTTTTACCCCCCACCCTCCTTCCTCCCAAGCTCTCCGCAATTAAACAGTTTCTTGCTCAGGATATTTGAAGGGGGGACTGCCACGAAATACTGCACTGCAACAAAAAAAAAAACATCTGACAACCTCAGATATTTTTATATTTTCTTTTCTCTCCCGAGTTCAGAACTTTTCAAACCTGCAAAATGCGTCTGAAAATGTTCGACTTTTACAACACGGCTCGACTGCAAGTCGCTTTAATTGACGCGAAGCTGCATCGAGAAATCCCAAAACGCTTTAATAAAACAAAATGAAGTTCAGTGTTACAGAAACCATGTGGGACTCCTCGAGACAGCTGCCTTAAAGACATAGGGTCTTTTGAACTGGGGTTCTGTAAAAAGGTATAAACTTTTATAACTATAAATATCTTACCTGTTGCTAACAACTCTTTCACTGACCTTAGTTTGGCGAGATGGAGTTAAATTCTGACCTAATGGCTGGTTTGAATGGAGCCAAGACCAAAGTAGATTGATAACATCAGTGTTTCCCCTAGATCAGTTCCCTTGGTGGGGCACTCGTCATATGGCATTTTTGTTGGGGGGGACGGAGACACATTTGTGTTGCCCGCCTGCTAGCTTAGCGCTACATTACTGCCAGTTTCTATCGACGGGGGGCAGAGAGATACGTTAGGTCTAAAAATTTGCTGAAATAGCAGAAAAGGCTGAAACTTGCAGAAATAAGCTGAAATTAGCAGAAAGACGTTAGAAGCACAAAGACGTTGTGGTTAGCAGAAAGAATCTGAAAGGAGCACAAAACAGCTGAATAAACAGCTAAAATTAGCTGAAAATAGCTAAAAATAGTTTAAATTTGCACAAGAAGCTGAAGCAGAACAAAATGTGAAAGCAGAAGTTAAAGGTTGTAAACAGAGCTAAAGATCTGAAGGATGTAAAATGAGCTCAAATCATTTTCTATGAGAAAAAAAAGTGGCTGAAAAGGCTAAACATTTCAAGAAGCTACAGTTGCACCATAATCAAAAGTCAGAGCCTGAACGAGCCGAACGTTTTGATTTATGATTTGTGGAAATGGCACAAAACTTGTGGAATGAGAAAGATGCTGAAAAACGTACGGAAGAAAAATGGATCACAATGGTTCATAAACATTCACACGAGTGGTTTGTGTCTAACTTCCACAATAAAGCCCTCTCCAGTGATCTTCAGCCAGTTTCAATCCATCATGCTTCCCCTCTGAAACTCCTGCTTTAGATCCGGGCTACGACGCAGCATTTGCAGTATATAAAGACTAATTGATCATTTATGCCCAAATCATTTGGGGTGAACCCGACCAAAGAGTTTGAACCATCCAACAAACAACAGCTTTTCCTGGTAATACCTTCGAACTACACAAGGACAAATTACAACAAACTACATGACAAACAATTACAGCCAGGTCAGAGACAGCTAAACTAAAGTTAAAGCTATTTTGTTCTGATCCGAGTCTCTCTGTGTGTGTCTGTTAGCAACTCTCTATACACAGGTTTTAATGAGTCTCTCAGAAAGTAAGCATGCATGTGCATCTACAGCTGTTTAACTTCTGGAGTCGGTGTGATTCAAGATGACCGCCACAGCCAACAAACCTTAGCAATCATTCGCAAAACACAAACAAATCCCCGCTGTCAAAAGTGGACTGAAACGACCATCATTTCTGCCGTTTCTTAAAGGATGATTTTAAAACCTGGACATAAAACATTGGACGATGTGCGTTCCTTCAAGGAAAGCTGGGCCTTCATTTTGTAACGTTTTCGTCTAAAAAAAATCACACTCAGGTTATTAAACTGTAGCTAAACTGAAGTTACACCTCAAACACCCTTCATTTTTTACGTTATCTCTTTCTTCTACAAATAATAAATCATAAACGATGCCTTCTTTAGTGCTTCGTGATCGGGTGCATGCGTGTGCGAGAGCTCAAGGTTTTAAGCTGTTCCTCATCCCTACAAACAAAACAATATTCCTCAAACTCCCACGACTCTGACAAATGTCCGGTGAACTCTGCAAACCAGGAACACCAAACACACGAATCAATTTGGAGATGCTCTGACCCTAAAGCAATTCTTCTCTCCTGAAGTCATTCAGATCCTTGTGATTAACGTATTTTCTGCCGTAAACATCACATCACCCTATAAGTCGCATCAGTCCAAAAATGTCTAATAAAGTGGAAAAATCCATAAATATGTCGCTTCGCTGTATACGTCACATCTACTATGTGTCACTGCCGACAACCTGGAAATGTGGGCCGGTGTTGTGCCTGAAATCGATTGGCTGCCAAATGGCGGCTGCAGGGGTGTGCACGGGAGGACTTTAACAAGAATTTAACAAGATTAACACTTAAAAACAATTATTTGTTTGCTCTAAAAAGGTGTGTCTCAGTCTAACGTTTGCTTAATAAATGCACTTTGACGGTGCGTTCTGCATGAGGATTCAGCATGCGGGAAGAGGCTGTCATTAGCTTTGTAGCTAGCACACTTGCATTGCGAGTCGCTAGTTGAGCGTTACGTCAGTGCCAAAAGGTGGTTTGGGGTGGGGTTCGGTAGACGGGGCGCTCGGTTCTGTTGACGGGGCGGGGCGCCCCGCTTGTATAACGTAGGGGAAACACTGCAAGCTGATTGTGTCATTAATAGCCATTTTTACCCATTACATGATACAACAGCATGCCATACTTCTCGACTGCCATCTAGCAGCTGAAAATGGTAGTGTTCAATATTTTCAGTCAGAATGAAAACGGTCATATCTCAGCCAAAAATTGGTTTATATAAATATGGAAAAAATCCATAAATATGTAGCTTTGGTACAGTATTTAAGTTGCAGAGCATGCAAATTTTGCAAAATCTGTATAGGCCAAAAAATACGATACCAACGTCCACTGCCGTTAAGCTACAAATCAAGAAATAGCTGCTAATCATCTGTCAGCACATCTGAGAGTGGTTTCTGATGATTTAAACAGTCATCAATGAAAAACACTAAATACCGGTAAATATGGAATGACTACAGCCGTTTTTATTTTACATGTAAAAAGTGAAACGACACAACTTGACTCCTGCGGTAGAAATATTTTGGTTCACTGCCTCAAAGTTCTTCCTGATGATGGCATCCGCCCCAAGTTTAACTCTGAGCAAGAGTTGCATTCAGTTTTTATTTTATGGATTTGTTCAGCCTTCTTCTACGCACCTGTTTAAAAAAATGTTTTGTTTGCTTTTTTTGAATAAAAAAACTAAAAAAAAAGAGACAGCGTTCGGTTTTGTTAACTCCAAAATGATTTGAGCACCTGATGGGCTTTGATTTCCTTCCAACAAAACTGCTGGCATAGAACCTCACTGACCTCCACAAGTCGAGGTCAGTGAACAAGGCCAGGCTTATTCTGGCAGATCCTGATCATCCACTGTTACGCCTCCAGGTCTACGGTATCAGGGGTTGTAACATCAAATGTGTCCAGAGGAAAAAAGATGGAGTTGATTGATTTTTATAAAGGGGTTTATTACAAAGAAAAATGTTCCACAGACAAATACTCTTTGACCCAACAAAAATATACTAAATGCTGCCTCAACAATTAAATAAAAATAAAAACCAAACAAGTCAGTCTAGTCCGGACTCAAAACAACCCAAACAAAAGACATTAAAAGGTTCAAAAACTTTCCAAGTACAAGTCTCTGAATTTGAAACAACCAGTCAAACTCAAAACTAAGCTGCTGAGAGCAAAAAGGGATCAGGAGTACAAAATACTCTAAAGTTGCCCAAACAGTCCTCAAAAGGCTACAACAACCAAAGTGTGGGTCAGCTATACAAAACTTCTGCCTAGAACAGCTCACTGAAGGAATGATTCCAAGAGCCTTTTATAGGGTGCAGGTGGACCTCATCATCATCATCATCATCATCATCATCTGATTGCCACACCAATCTCCTGCTGGTCCAATGGTGCTGATGTTCTGCAGCTGTCCTCCTGGCAGCCAATCAGCTGAGTGTGCTCCCACACCTGAATCTGCATCAACAAAGAGAGAGACTGCACAGCCTCTAGAGGCCAGGGGCCATAACACCACTCCATGGTGAGTTCAGGTTCCATCTGGACGCAGGTATCTGCCCAGGTGTAGGATGAACAGACTGAAAATCTCATTTATCCCTGTAGTGATCCGGCTTCTCAACGAACAATGGTGATTTCTGGACAATTATTTTAATGTCTCAATGCCTTGTATGGACGTTTTGTGTGCCTACTGATTGTGAAACAAATTGCCCCTTGGGGACAATAAAGATTAATGAACTTGAACTTAGCAGCAAAAAAAAAAAAAAAAAAAGGTGCCATGGTCAAACATTTCTGATTCAAAATAAATCAGCAAATCAAACATCATAAGTGGTTTCATAGAAATCACAAAACGTGACAAAGGGCGCGAATAAAACCAGTCAGGTAACGCTGTTTATTATTACAACAGTAACACACCTAAAGTACAACGACAGAGACGACCCGTAAAAAATTAAACTACAACCACGACTCAAAGTTGGGATGTTGTGTAAAATGTAGAGAACAGAATGATTTGGAAACTTTTATAAACCCATATTTTATTTACAATGGAAATGCTTAAATTAAGAAATTGTCCCTTAAAAAGGGAAATTTTGAATTTGATGGCATCATCACAGAAAAAAAAAATAAGGTTGGACAGAGCCATGTTTACCACTGCGGAAAGATCCCCATGTCTTTTAACAACATTGTAAACGGTTTAGGACCTGAGATGTTGGAGGTTTTGTAGGCGACCGTCCCATTTTTGTCTGATGGAGGAGGATTCTAGCTGTTCAGCTGTCCTGGATCATCTTTGCGCAGATGTTGTTCTAAAGCCTGAACATAATTTTCTGCATTCATGGTACCTTTCCAGATGTGTAAGCTGCCCATGTTCAGATACACTAATGCACCCACATACCATCAGCGAGGCAGGCTTCTTAACTGCGCTCTGAGAACAGATCAGACGGTCCCTCTCCTTTTTAGTACAGAGGACGCAGCATCTGATTTCCCCAAAACAATTTCAAATTTTGATTCATCTGATCACAGAACGGTTTCCTACTTTGCCTCAGTCCATTTGAAACGAGCTTTGGTCTATAGAGACGGCAGCATTTATAGATACCGTTTGCATACGGCTTCTTCTTTGTCTGATAGAGCTTTAACCAGCATTTATGGATGCCACAGCTAACTGTGGTTCAAAACACTGATTTGGGGAAATGTTCCTGAAGCCATGCAGTTATGACATTATTTACTTTTCTTTAGATGTGGCGCAGCCATCAAATTAAAAACCACTTTGTTTGATTTAAAAAAAAAAATTGTACAATTTCTTGTCTTCAACCTTCCATATGATTACTTTGCTCCATTGTGAATAAAATACAAGTTCACACAATTTATAGATAATTGCAATCTGTTCTAATGTTCAAGAATCTTTATTATCCCCGAGTGACAATTTGTTTCACAGTCAGTAGGCACACAAAACACCCATAATAGACATTGAGGCATTAAAATAACCGTACAGAAATCATCACTGTTCATTGAGAAGCCTGATCACTACAGGGATACATGAGTTTATCAGTCTGTTCGTTCTACATCTGGGCAGCAGATTCCTGCATCCAGATGGAAACAACCTGAACTCACCATGGAGTGGATGATCAGGATCTGCCAGAATGTTTTCATAAATTGCATTGAAATAATTCAAATAAAATTAGGGATAACAGGACAAGTCCTTTTTATGATCCCCAAATCGCAATCTGAATTCAGAGCTCATTAATTATTAAACAATACAACTAGACTCATTTCACAGAACCAATAATAATGGATTTCTATCCATTTTAATTGTTATTAAATTGTTATAAACAAGTCGCTATGGCGACAAGTCTCAGTTAAAACTGTGGCCTGATTTTATTGGGAGAATAAAAAGCCATAACAATAAATTGAAAGGGGAAACAAGAGAGCATCTTGAACTAAAACCCACATCAGTCCGACCAGCAGAGATGAACGACGCGCTGCATGGTTGCTCCTGTTAGCATCTATGCTAACCTTTGCTACCGTCCGAAGCCCACACTGAGGGTTTCTAACGCTGCTTAGTCTGCTTCGCTGGGCTAACGCACGTCGTGGAGCTGCGACCTCAGCCAGGGATGATTAGGCGCAAGGACTTTCCGATAATCGGCTAAAAAACAAGCCTGGCGGACAGGATAACCCGCTCCAGTCCCGTTAGCTCCGGGGACGCTAACCTCGCTGTCCCCATAGCTCCTTCTCTTTAAATAAACCACCCGGTTTTATCGCCTTGTGCTATTAAACTCTGATTCCACTCATCGTGTTTATATATGCAAGTTAAAAGTAATTAAAATAAGCACAACATGTCATACCTTTCAAAGAGAATCGTTGCGGAGGGTGTGCGTTTGACAGGTGACGGTGTAAACACTGACGCGATTGGTTAAAGAGCGCTTCCACTGCCGGTGTTGTGCCAAAAAATGTGCACCAGCCTCGAAAAGAACCGCCGTCACGGGAAAAACAATTGAACACTGTTTTATTCAAATATATAATAAAAGGAAGCCAAAAAGCGATAAAAGGGATAGTGTTTTTCACTTCCCTTTGGAAAACATTTGTTTACAAATATTTTGTTTTGATATAAATTCATAAGGAAGGGGTGCGCTAATCAGCGGCGCACTTTGTCATATAAAAGCACAAAATATACAAATATTGTAAAAAACATATATAATTTAGATAAATGTGTCCTTAACGATGCTGAAAAGCAGGAGTCAAACTATCACGTTTGACTTTATCTCATTTATATTGGAAAAGCGCCTCCACCGATGGGGTTTCTTTTTTCAGCACAACCCCAGCGGAGTGATACAACAATGCACTGCGGGCACTGAGTATAAAGCAAATGCCGCAGTATCTTTGCGCAACAAGCGCTCGAGTAAACTAGATTCGAGTTATTTTTTTTTCCATCTTCTTTTTAACACACACAAAAAAAAACATTTATTAACAGATCATTTGCTTAAACGTGAAGGATGATCGTAAAGAAAAACAGCGCGTGGGGCTATTAGCATCTGCTGCGTCTCGTGTTCATCAAACTGACCGGGTCTACTTCTCATTCATAAGGGCCTGCTCTGATCAGGGCTCACACTGAAGTTAAGATCAGCAAAGAGAAGTAGAGTATACTCTTGAGATAAAAGAAAATATTCAGGATCAGAAACAATAACAGGTGCCTGTAAAAATTTATTTTTGTTCCAAAATTTAAATAATCTGAGTCCAAATTTCCTAATTGGTGCCTCTAACTTTAAATTTAAAGGACACTGTAGTGTGACTAAAATATTCAATTTAAAAGTAAAAATAAAATGTTTTTTTATTATGTTGCAAGAAAACCTTAATATTTTTGAAATGGGCAAAATCCATGTGAATAAAATCAGTCATTTAATTTTTAAAAATTATTTTGAGCCTTTATTTCTTGTAGTTTTAATGATTATGTCTTACAGATAATGAAAAACCAAAACTCCTGAACCAGAGACAACATCATAAGTGTCTTACCTGGCTAAGGAGACAAACAACTAGACTGTTGCTCAGTGGTTGAATGTCCTCTTTTCGGATGAAAGTAAATGTTCATGTAATTTGGAAATCAAGGTCCCAAAGTCTGGGGGAAGAGTGGAGAGGCCCAGAATGTTGCTTTAAGTCCAATGTGAAGTTTCCACAGTCAGTGATGGTTTGGTGCCATGTAGAACAGTGCTTTATCAAGTTCAGTCCATTTTAAACCATTTCAGTCCAAGTCTTTAATGCTACATGTAAGAATCTAGGAGGCCCTTACTTAGTACTGAGGGTAAAGGTGGGCTACACTTGTATTAGTTGACCAAGCAGTTCTGCCACATTCAATATGGTGGAGGCTCTGATGTTCTCTACTGGTGTTGACAAGTAAGGCAATTCAGACATATCTTTGGTTCAGAAGTGACTTGAGGAATGAGACATTTGTTGCCCATAAAATTTGTCTGTGCATAGTGTGCACCAGTTTCCAATACAAACGTTATCTTTATTATATCAGAACTTTATTTATTTTCATTATCTGTAAGCCATAATCACCAAAATTACAATAAAGGTTTGAAATATTTTACTTTTCTTCTTCTCCTTCTTCTTTCAGCTTTTCCCTCTTCAGGGGTTTCCACAGCGAGTCATCCTCCATCTCACTTTTTCCAGACTCCAACTACCTTCATGTCCTCTCTAACTGCATCCATACATCTCCTCTTTGTCTTTTTCCTGGCAGCTGCATTTCTAACATCCTTCTACCAGTATACCCACTGTCCCTCCTCTGGACATGTCCAAACCATCTCAGTCTGGTCTCTAACTTTATCTCCCAGTTGTTCAACCTGTGCTTTACCTCTGATGATCTCATTCCTAATCTTATCCATCCATGTCACTCCTAAAAAGAACCTCAACATTTTCATTTCTGCCGCTTCCAGTTCTTTCTCCTGTCTTTTTGTCCATGTCTCTGTCTCCAGAACAAACAACACAGCTGGTCTCACCACTGACTTGTAAACTTTTCCTTTGAACTTTGCTGACCCCTTTTGTCACAAATCATTCCTGAAACTTTTCTCCATCCACTCCATCCTGCCTGAACTCTCTTCTTCATCTCTTTACCACACTCCCCATTTTCCTGGACAGTGGACCCCAAGTACTTGAAGTCCTGCACCTTTGTGACCTCTGCTCCTTGTAGCCTCACTGTTCCACCAGCCTCCCTCTCATTCACACACATACTCTGTCTTACTACGGCTGACTTTCATTCCTCTTCTTTCAAGTGCATATCTCCACCTCTCCAAGTTCTCTTCCACCTGTTCCCTGTTCTCACCACAGATCACAATGTCATCTGCACACATCATTGTCCACGGGGATTCCTGCCTGACCTCATCTGTTAGTCGGTCCATCACCAGAGCAAACAAGAAGGGGCTCAGAGCCGAGCCTTGATGCACTCCCACCTCCACCTTGAAGCTATCTGTCACTCCTAGCACATCTCACCACTGTTGCTGTCCCCAAGTACACTTTACAGCAAGAAACAGATAAGATTGTGTAAAAGCAAACACAGTGCAAAGACGAACAGGAATAAATTGAAATATAAAATGCATAAAACAAAGCTAAGAAGGATAAGCTGTAGTCTAAAGAGGTGTTTTCAGAGTAGTCTTGAACAGAGAGAGAGAGGTGGTGTTTCGTAGGTCTGGCAGTAGAGAGTTCCAGAGGTGAAGGGCAGAGCAGGTGAAGACTAAACTGAATTGAATTCAAGTATGAATAGCAAAAACTATTGAATATCATGATATTCTGTTTTATGTACCTGTAATAATAATAATAATAATAATAATAAAATGTTATACATTAATAAAATAACTATACGTTTAAAAAAAAAACAAAAAAAAACGTAAAATATATGTATAAAATGATATTTTGTAACAGCAGAAATACATATCCAAGTTTCAGCTATTTTAAACAAGACTTTTTATCCATCCATCCATCCATCCATCCATCCATCCATCCATCCATCCATC